GGGGGGGGGGGGGTGAGCTGTGCATTTGCGAATGAATGTTTTTTTTCGGGGCCAAGGTTATCAGGTGGTCAGGGACGCTACTAGCGGGATATGGGGGCGGCTTGTTCTTGTTCCGGTAATTAGCAGAGTGTACGTAGAAAGATCGACTTGTCTCGTGTATATAAAGATACCACATCTGAAGTAACTTTGTTATTGTATTGTAAGTTAGCACGTTGCGGAGGGCGAGGTCACTTCAGTTCACGTGGATCTGGTGGTCTTTGCATGGAAAAGTTTTGCAAGAGTATTGCGGGTATGGCTCGCGCTGTAGTTATTGGTGCGAGGGGTTCGGGCGTCATACTTTTGCGTGTTGAAGTATTAGGTTAAGGGTTGGTGAGAGGCAGTGTTGTATGTGTTTTGTGGCACATGATTTAAGAAGTTTAGGTGCTTGTCTCCGACGTAGCCAAGATCTCTCGTGTTTTTCTGCAGTTGCGGTACTGAAAATTAGATTTGGATGACATGAGGTCGGTCATGTGAAGGAAAATCTGGATGAAAGGTCTGATGTTTCATGTTCTCTTTGAATCGGGGCTGGTCAGTTAATTTTTTTTCTGAGGGAGCCAATTACACCTTGATGTGCGACCCGGTTGCCCGACGCACTTACGTCAGCGGTTGGTGCATTCTCCGCGGTGTGGTTTTAGCGGCCGTTTGAAAGCCACAACAATGATGAGTAAGCTTCCTTTAAATTGTTTGCAGTGTAGTCATTGGAAATAAAAGTTCTTAATGCTGTTTGTCTGTGCATCTTAACATGTTGGTGTATAAGCACATGTGGGTGTTTTGGGGAGGGATGCGAAAGACAACTTTTATACGTTGTTTGTCATCTTTACATTTATGGGAGTCGGTTTCAAGTTAGTTCCTAGACGTTGGGTGCCGCCATGTGCGCTGTTATGGCATCCTGAAACTGGCTGGTGACGTATTTCCATTGGGATTTGCCTGGTTCGAGGTGTGCGACGCTTACCTTTACCGGAGTTGCTTTGTTGACGAGGTGGAGGCCGACGCCGCGCAGGAAGATTGCGGGGAAGCTGTTGGTCCTGTAGAGCCTGTTTATCCAGTCGCATGCTACCTGTTGGGGTACGTTATGGCGCTGTGCCTTCGTGTCGTATTCTGCGAGGTAGGTCAGAGATCCTGAATAGACAGAGGATTGCGAGTGGCAGGTGTTGGTTCGGACTTACGTACCTAAGTCTGCTCCCTCTTGGATGATTCGTTCGAGGCACGCAGTCAGTCGTTCGACGTCGGCCCATCCCAGATTAACACCTAGCCCACCAAGGGGATGTATGCGATGGGCAGCGTCTCTAAAAACTGGTTGCATGAAGTGCAGTTCAACCAATACGATGTCAGAAGTAGCTGCAAAAGTTTTACCCAATCAGGGCAGACCGTGCTGAGACATAGGTGTGCGCATGACCGAAGACGAGCGGAAAAGCTGCACGAGTATTTGGTTGGAGGCTGATTATGTGAGGTGGAGATGGAATCATGGTCCTGCCACTTCCAAATACAGTGCCTGCAAACCCATCTATTGCTTCCAACACTCTGTTTGTAAGGCCATTTTGAAGACGATCAGTTGACTGAAATTATAATTATTGTTGGGACTATCAAAGTAAACATTGTCCTTCGGCCTTTAACTGCAAGGTTTAAAACGTAACCAGATGATAATTTAACGTGTCGATAAACTCTTCCGGGTTTCTCTTCAGTAGCTCCTCTGCGTGGTCATCACTAGTTGTCCAAATAAGATTACTGGTATCTTCGTCGAGTGGAAGGAGTGCGACAGGTCCTCGACTACTAAACCGCTGCCAAGCAATATTGTTTTGTCCAGCCTAAATTATTCTCGAGTAAAGCAACAAATATCAGAAAAGTTTGACAGTAAAATCCGTTCTATTATATGCAAGAAACAAATCTGACGTGTTCACTTCTGAAAACTTACATTTTCTAATTTCACAACAGCTACAACTCCTTTTTGCCCATATTGCCACCAGGTATATTTTGTTCCGGCGGCTCGCCGAACAATGCTGTTCCCGCCATCTGCTCCAATCTTGAAAAATCAGTGTTACTTGCGCTGAAGTGCCCGAAGAAACACATAGTGGGCTTTTGTTCTAAACACTACAATTTATGGTTAAGTGGCGAACGTCAGTACGCGTGAATAATGTTGCAGAAATCTTAGTATAAAAAATGGGCCAATGCTTTGAGGCAACAACGCTCCAATTGTAGTGCAGAGCTTACAACAAGTGATGTCGAAACCTCTGTCCCATCGCTTAACACTATTTTCGCGTCTTCGGCCAACGAATTTGGGATGCTAAACTCAAAGGAATAGGGTTTCGAAATAGAACAATACAAGCTATGTTACAAGGAGTGGAGGCGAAGACGTTAATATACCTGCAATCAAGTACTTTCAAATTTGTTTTCACGGTAACGTTCTTACAAGTCTGCTCTATACGCTCCAGTAGATGTGACACAATAATATTATTTTCTATGATGTACGCCAATCCATCTTCGGAAAGTGGGTTCGAGAAATTGATGGTAGATCTGGTGCAACTGTCAATAACCTTAAAATTTTTTGGCTAGATTATAAGTGATATCTGAAGCAGGACTGTCGATGTTACACCAACACGACATCTCAAAACAAATTGATCAAATACCGAACTTCGTAACGATCCACGCGCTTCGCTCTATAATCCAAAAATTTGTTCCAAATGCCCAGTTCTGTAATATCAATATGTAAATTACTCGTCTCGAACATCCATGTACTATTTAAAAAAATATTATTTTTTTCTTTGACCAACTTGAAGAGGAAGAGAAACTGCAAAAAACATCTTGCTCGACTTTTATGTCGTCAGAACCTCAAGACTAACTCCCTTGATAACTGTATACAGAGAAACTCTTTCAGCAGTATGGAGGTAAACCACATTGACTTGTAATATTATGTCCTAATTTCACTTATTCAGTAAGAAACAAAATCTATACTCGAGCCACTTCCTCACTTCTAAAACAGTAAACAGTTTAGGGTGGAACGAAGAACACCGTAACATCAGGTTGCTTTCATTACATCGGTTATGGTCATTTATAAACGGCAAACCGCACACAGTACCTACACATACAGCAACTGCTATAACACTCTTGCCGGAATAGAATATAAGAATCATAACTATTAGTGCGGTTTCAGCAGACACATTTTTTACATGTCATCTTAGGATAATGTTATTTGATAGGTGACTGGGGCGAATGAAACTAACACATTTCTTTAAAAATAAATTATTGCAAATCTAATAATTTCCCATTCTAATTTTCTTTAAAATAGTAAAGTCCAATACGCCGCTTCAAGAACAATAAAGCACAACGTATGTTAGATTTAATAACAAATTGCTTTTCTCAAACATTGAACTTACCCATTTTTCCGGATTTCTACCACAGGTTTTCTTGTGACTTTACATCGCTTCCATTGTGTTCCATATTCTTATACGACTAATTCCTAGATCTTCTTAACCTTTTTTTGCAGTAAGAATGTGGACTGAGTGGATTTAAACCAAATGAAAGAAAAGAACCTAGCATTTAAACAAGCGAACACTAAATGTTCCCTAACAAATACGGAACACAAAGGATGCGGCAAAAATATATTACAAAGCACTGTTCTCCTAAAAACATCAGATTTCTTTCACGGACCTTTCATAGAAGCAAAGTTCTTCCGATAAAAAAACAAGGTCAGGAAGTTTAGAATACTCAACTTTAACATCTCTTTTAGCCAGAAGTTTCACTACACTGGTAAACAAGTAGAATGTAGGTATCCAAATTTGGCAGATGACACGGTTAAAAACTTTTAAAAATCCTCGATGAAAACTTACTTTTAAAGAACTGTATAGATGCAGACGTTACAGCCGATGTTCGGTTACTAAACAAAGAACTTCTTTCCAAAGGTTTCCGTTCTGATGACTCCAATAACAAAATTTTCTTGTTTTTTAAAGTATCACTTGATCCTAAAAATGGATAATGATCAGCACCCTTTAATGTGCCATAACATTTTAAAAAAAATTATTCAATCGCAGCGGGCCCCTTTTCGGTTAATTTTATACCGCTTAGGCACCAAATGAAGTAGTAAAAAATGAGCGTCTCCTTCTGCAGAAAAAAACTGATAATTTACCCAAACTGCAGGCCATAGAATTGCCAACCATTCCGCCTCCAACGATGACTGCATCATAAAAGAAAGTAGCTGACGTTGAACTACAGCGACTGGCCGTTAGAGAAACCTTATGGAATTTTAACAGTGCCATTTAAACTTCTGCAACAATCATTTCAAAAGTCCAATAATACTCATCCCCAAAGAATCCTGGATCTTCTTATTAGGCATGTATTTTCATAAGGAGTAAACTTTTGTGAGCTGCCAAGAATACTTGAAAGTAAATACAAGCGGCGTAATATGTCAGACGTCACGAACTGTAGACAACTGACGAGAGAAAATAAGCTTTTTGCAACACAGTTTATGAGGGTGATAAACTTACAAGGACTAATCGCTTATACAGCCGTATCGTACAAATATCACCGTAGATAATGGGTCAGATGAGCCAAAACCATCAAACTAGAACGAACAAAAGAAATAAAACAGATCTGTAAAACAGATAGTGAGATGCTGATAAAAATTGCACACGTTTGGTGGAATAATTTCTATTTACTATGTGTCGAATAAAGCAGAGATTTTGAGCTTGCTGTGGTTGGCTGCTGGCATTAATTAAGCTGCCAAAAGCACGTTCATGCATGACATTTTTATTCATAACCTGGTTCGTATAGGTAGCTAAGAAACAGTAAATTTAAGATCTTGTTCTCTCCGTAATTTTTTCAGCAGCAAATAAACTAATACCAAGGTTAACGATGCTGCGGAGGATAACGGTTCGCTCAAAAAATTCCACCGATCCAGATAAATCCGAAACTACACTACAACCAAATATATTCGTAACGGGCTTCCTGAAAAAACCACTACTGTCCATAACAGATGATCAATAAGAAAATTTCTTTTCGCTGCAGGAACCTGAAAGAATAATAGTATAGTTGCACAGAGTTCCTCACCCAATAATTATGGGCCAAAAACCATCGCTTCATTAATTTGACGTTTTGCCAATGTTCTAGTGAATTTAACGTCAAAATCAAGGTGGATTTCGTTTTTCTGTACGTGAACAAGTGTCACAAGTGAGGTCACGGTAGGCTAATATAGAGTTCCACCGTACTTGGCGCAGATGAAGTTCGTTTTTATTGTTCCACGTACTGTCGTTTCATGCCAGACGTTCCTTTATCTGAACGGATAGTTGTTGTCAGAATAAAACAACGCATTTTATGATCTTTCGTCTGCTGAGATGGATTATAGCTTTTAATACCAAAGGCAGGCGCGCGTGGTCTCAGGACAAGCAAAGTTCAGCTCGATAAGAGATTTAATTTAGGAAGGAACAAATTGAAACGCAGTTTCAAAGGTTATAGGATTCAAAGGTTATAGGAAGTGCGAGGAGCGGAATACTTCTGGAAAATAGTTGTCTTAATTCGACTCCTGCATTTTGGTTCGCATGCATCATTGTACAAGAGATATAGCAAATTAGAACCTGTAGCAGAAAGCTGATGTAGGCGTGTAGTAACTAGGAAGGGTACACAGTCAAGATAAATTTTTTAAATGCTTTTGGAAGACAAAGGCTAAAAAGTCTACATTAATACTAGTTGACTTTTAAGTGTGCTAAATGCGCCTTTTTTTGCGGCAGTAAGTGGGAGAACCTGCAGTAAGTGATGAAGCGGGAGAAAGCTCCTAATTACTACTGCTGCTGAAAACATTGTAACAAGATGTTCTTGGTGAGACATGGGTCTTTTATAAATAGAAGGCAATTTGTTTTTAAAGAAGTGAAGTTAATCCGTGTACACGAATTTTGTTAATATTCCGAGTATTCGACACAGTTAAAGCTCATGAGATATCGACTCCCAGAAGCTACACGTCTTTTTGCCGTTGTTGCAGTGAGCGTCCCCAATTCCAAAAATGTGTTTTTTATCGCCAACTAACCTTCGTTTTTACACACGGGTTTTCCAACCATGTCTGGTACGTTTGCAATAGTTACGGACTTGTCTGTGCACCTCGCACTTCTTGCTAACTTTCTAACAGTTTATCGCTACAGCTTCATTTTAATTTGTAAACCCTTTAGTAACATCTGATTGTCAAGTGCATTTACTACAGTGCGCTTTTGCTGCTCTCCGTGACCGCAGTCCCAGGGACCTGGAAGATTCAAATTTACTTCCCATCAGCAATCCCGCAGCAGCTCAGAAAATTCTCGACTGTTTCCTGGTACACCCAAAAAATAATTGTTTAATCACAATGTTTTAGCTGTACACATTTCATCTTTTTTCTACCGGATGAAAAGACCAAAAAATTTTTGGGAATGGCTTCCGATACAGGTCCTCATATGTATTATAGAGACCATCCCATACCAAATAGGACGCTTTTTTCCCCTCATATCTCAGATTTTTTTTTGGATTTCGCTAGTTAGTAGAGTCTAGGGCAGTATACAAAAAGCCGGGAAGAATACCTGGAAAATGGCATTCCGCGCCTGGTTACACCCTCCAAAATTGCAAAATTTGGCAGTTTGCCGTTTAATATGCTTACCGTTGCATACTAGTAATTTAGCCTGTTACCTGTAAAATTTGACCCTCTTTTATCCTAAATTTTTAAATGCTTATTATATGTTTTAATGTTAATTAAAAATCATATGGATATAGTAAGAATGATATTTCAAACAGACACAGAAAAAGGAAACGTGTCTTTAAAATTTTTAAAAAAGAAATTTTGTGTAAAATTTTCTGCTCTACAAAATGTCAAATTTTGGTGGCAGCGATTTTTTGGTACCGGGAATTATGAGCCGGAATGGAATGTAAAACTTAAAAAACTCACTATTCTTACGATAATCTCATATATTTTACATGACGAAACCGTCTTGAGCCGCTTTTGAAAGTCGCAGACAACTGCTATAAAAATTTGATATACTTTAAACGTCGCATACTTGTCACAAAAGTTGTATTTTACTTCAAAAAATTAAGAGACTGTTATTGTGCACGTAAGAACTGGTCTTCAATCCAGTGCCTTCTGCTTCTTGTATTTTATTCAATTAAAAATTATACACTGGTATCACAACAAATCTTCCACAGCAAGACTGGTAAAAGCGCCCCAATCTGAACGTGGACCAACACTCGCCCAGGGTGCCAGCCGGCCGTGTTACCATAATTCTGGAACCATCGTCAAAAATATTTCCACACTAAACTTATGAGAACGATGCACATTTTAGAGTCATGAAGTCTAAAAACCTACTGCTTCGCCTGGTTAGCTGCTGAATTAAGGTTTACTCTAAACATTTTGTGTTTTTGGAGAATTAAGCATATAATTTTGAAGAAAAAAAAAAGTTGAGTTTGCGTAACCAAAATTTTAACAAGTACACTTTGGACATAATTCTAAGAGTCTGGAAACTATGAAATACAAGAGGTAGAAGGGAGTGAATTAACAACCAGTTCTTACATGCAAGATAATTACTTGTTACGACTTTCAGAAGCCACTCAGAACAATTTCGTCATGTAAAATATAAGAGATTACTGTAAAAATAGTGAGTTCTTTTTTTCAGGTTTACATTCCATTCCGGCTCATAACTCGCGGTACCAAAAAATCGCTACCACCAAAGTTTGATATTTTGTAGAGCAGAAAATCCTATTCAAAATGTCTTTTTTTAAGATAAAAGCAAGCTTTTTTTCACTGTTTGAAATATTATTTTTACTATATCTATGTGATTTTTTTCTCAAAATTAAAACATTTAATAGGCGTTTAAATATTTAAGATAAAAAACTATTAAATTTTATTAAGAATAGACTAAATTACATGTCTACAAAGGTAAGCATGTCAAGCGGTAACCTAGCAAATTTTGCAACTTTGAGGAGGTGCAACTATGCGGAGAATGCCCTTTCCCAGGTGTTCTTTTCAGCTTTTTGTATACTGCCCTGAACTCTA